TTTTCTAGGGAGGGGGGCTATGTCATAATGTATAAAGTAGACTCATGGACTCATAGCAACAATTTCAATAGAATGTGATTATGCTTGCAAACTGGAATTGAAGGAATTAGTACAAACTTTTGCGACAAAGGAGGAAAGAAAAATTTGATTTTGATGTCTACTTTCAATGTGTATGCAATTGATAATAAATTAATATGTCACTTTTAATTCATTGTTTTCTTATGCATATGTTTTATTAATTAATTTGTCTGAAAGGGGGCGTTTTAATACGTTTTTCCTAGGGCGCCAAATAACCTGGCGCCGGCAATGAGTGTTTGATATCTGAATACTCAAACATAATTCTTGTACCAGATAGAAAAAAATCATATAGTACTCACTGAGATTTAGGTTACTTAAATCTTTTGATTGAGAAAGCAAGTTTCTTTTTCTACGCACTACAATTTGAGTCCTGATCAAGTCACACGACTGTTTTATTTTAAACAGAATTTAAATCAATGCATCAACCCAGTTCATATTTAGCCCAGTAGGGCCAACATCTTGATATTTATTTATCTTAAAGTAGATATGATGGATGTCAGTGGCTGCAAACTTTCTCTACAAAATGGTTTAAACACCACACACTATTCATTGCTTTTAATACTCAAGATCTTTCCAACTACTGAGATATTTAAACTTTGTTTTGAAGAACTTAAGTTTAAAATATAACTTGACAATGTTTTTTCATAGCATACTTCTTTATAATTGAAGTAAAGTATCAAATTAGTTATTTGTTATTAATATTTTCTTTAATTATGAGACCCAATTTTTTTAAAATCAATATTTGTTTAAAATTAAACATATGGATGAGAATAAAGTGGGCTCTGTGTCTAAACTGTTAAGAATAAAAAGTGACATTAAATTATCCTTCAAATAATTCTTATCTCATTCATTTCTATCAGATTCTGCAAGTCAGTCAGTCTATCAATATTCCTATCAATTATTCTACAGTTTCAATCCTACCCTTTTTATCATTCTTCTATTAACTGTATTATTTTACTATTTATAACAAGCCAAAAAATCACTCATTAAGACATTCAAATATGGGAGTAAGTGACACAATTTAAGCTTTGATTTCAATTACTGATAAGGGGCAAAGTCAGCCTGTAAAAAATAATTACAAAAAAAAAAAAAAAGAATTTTACATCAAATTTTGCCTTACAACTAATCTTATATCAAGAGCACGCTTTTCTCTGAGGCAAAATACTCAAACACTTTTCTAAAAATAAAAAATAAAATGCATTATATTATTTCACCCATGATTTTACAATACTTAGTGAATGTTCTTTTAATCAATAAGAAAGTTGTGCATGTTACATCTCCAATACTGCTGGTGGTAAAGGTCAGCTTGATACTCTATAACCTTTTCCCGGGAAAAAATCATTATCAGTTGCAGTTGTTTTAATCACTTCCAACCTGATTAGTGATTACAAGTTGGGGTAAGAAACAAAGATGCTTATAAATTGTTTAGACAAATAAAACTGAAACAAAAAAAGTTAAACATTTTTTTTGTAGCAAGTTGAAATATTTTTGTAGTGGAATTAAAGAAGAATTAATTTTACGGAGAAGTGTTAAATTAATTTGCTTGATACAGTGCGTGTTCGAGAAATATGGCATTAATCTGGTTTTTCCAAAGACTTGTTCCCCAATTACCTGGCCAACTTTAAGGTCATGGAGTACAAATATTTGGACCATAGCTCTTGATGTTTCCATCTATCCCATATGATCCCAGTCAATGATTTTTTTTATTACCGCAGATAGTTTGTTTATTCTAATCAACTAGAGAAATGAAAATGTTAGTTCGTCTGTCCCCTAAGGGGTTGTCCATAAATGATGTCACACACCTGGCTGTAGGGTGGGGATGGGGGGGGGGGGGGGGGGGGGGGGTGGTTGGAATCTTTTGATGATGATTGATATGTGATGTTGTCTCTGTTTGGTTAATATTTTAGAGAGAAATTCTGTTTCACCAAACTAAATCTTGCCAAGGCTGAAGAGTGAAATCAATTTAGGAGCTCTGATTTTATTATTATTATTACATTGATGGGGGGGGGGGGGGGGTCAAAAAAGATGTGTTGTCATTTATGGTGTGTGAGTGTAATAGTACTTGTCAAAATATACTGTATAAAAAAGTTAAGTTCCTTTTTGAACCTGATGGCCCATGGAGCAGGTGAAGTAGTTCACCTGTTTACGTTACCTCTGCATATGCCTAGCTTCCTTTACTTTCCCTAATGTGAGCTAGGTACCCGGATTAGAACTTGAGACCTTCAGGTTAACAGTCTAGCACTCTACTACTAGGCCATGCCGTTCCATATATACAGTATAATGCTATCACCATCACCATCATCACAAAAAGACAGACTCTGCCCCTAACTCCTCTTCTCACTAAGAGTGCCCTCACTAATAAAGGACCCAATCAAATTATTCTCTACTGTTTTTCTTTTAGGCATCTCTCATGATGCTTTTTCCATCCACCGCCCACCTCCCCCCCCCCCCCCCCCCCCCCACAACCACAGAGCAAGATGTTTGAAAGAAACCTTGGTTATCTCTAAACTATATACACCTTTCTAGTATTAGACCCTGTTTTAATAGTCATATTTGGTTTGTTTTTGTAATGGTTCATTTTGTGGGCATTCATCTCTAAAATTAGAGTCACTATAGGAATGCAGCATTTGGTCTGCTTGTTTTGCTAGTCAATGTATGATTGTAGCATGTACCTACAGGCAATCTTGATTGTAGTATGTACCTGCAATCAATCGTGATTGTAGCATTTACCTGCAGGCAATCATGATTGTAGTATGTACCTGCAGTCAATCATGATTGTAGCATTTACCTGCAATCAATCATGATTGCTACTTAAACTGCCATTCTACAATTACAAATGACCTTCCAGTGTTTCAGTGGTGTTAAACTTTTTTTAACCAGGCTGGGTATATTAAAATATTTTTGTAACTATTAATTGTAATTTACTTTCCTGTTTGGCTATACAGATTTTAAGCTAACTAAACAACCACTGTTGTTTTTGACATAAGTGCTAGATAGTGTAAATGAGTCACTAATTTTAAACTGCTAGCCTATAAATATCAAATTTACAGAAAAAGAACATAACAATGTTAACATGCAAGATTACTTGAGTCTTAATAAAATTATGGTTTAGCCATATTAGGATTATAAATCAGATCTACATTGTGTATTTAAATGTAGACTCTAGATCTATATCTGTTTGATTTGTAGAAAAACCCAACCTTAAATATCTATTTTTTTAACCAAGCTAATCTTTATTTAACTAACCCTTTCTTAGGTAATAAAATTATAAATTAAGTAGATTTCAAGAGAAAAAACTATAGCCCTGCCCTTAGACCTTCCTCTACCTACCCTCAGGTCAAATTGCTTTTGAGTGGTTTAGCAAAGCCAAAATGACTAGGAAAATTCAATTCAACTTTGTAGTACAAGGATTTAATACTTTAAAGAGTAGTTCTCTAAAGGGGTTCCTATCAGGGAGTTAAGAAACTAGAACAAAGGCATCCTTGAGATGCCATGCAGAGGTCGGTTAGGTAAAATTTTCAACACATTTTTTTAACAGTAGTGTATTTTTTTAAAATTCTCTTTCACACTCGCAACACATGCATGGGTGAGTCAAGACATTTTTAAAACCAGCAGAGGGGAGGGTGGGGGTGGGAGGCTAACACATGAGAGATGTGTGTTGATGTAGGTCTCGCTTAAATCTCGATTGGCCCCGGCTAGAGGATTTAGCCAGACAGCCTACGATGGAGGGACATCGAACTGTTAAGACTACTGAACGTCTACTAGATCTAGTTTGAATAAATAGATAAAAGTCGACTTACTGTGTTACTGTGGGAACGGGCGTAAAGATCCACGGGGTACCGTCCATTTTAGTTCTTGCTCGTGTGCCATTGTTCATTCTCATCTTAGCTCACACACACACACATTTCTCTCGCTCTCTCTCTCTACCGAGTCTTAGGCAGCGCCGACGGCATCGTTTATTCTTCAGTTTTCTGATGTTGAATAGGGGTGTCAGGTTGCTACACAGGACCCGGTGTGGGTAAAGAGTATCCACCGTCGGCTCCTCTTGTGCTGAATGTACAGATGGGTAGGGGGAAGTCGTATTTTTTAAAAATATTCTAGATTTAACTGATTTAGTTTTACGCATATCTTTTTAAAATTCAAGTATAATTCAGGTTATTATGCTTAAACTAACAGAACCCATGCCCCCCCTCGTCATTTACAGTGGACTGGCCCATTTTGGGATGCATGACTGCTGCGCAGCGCTCACGTTCATGCTAATGGTATCAGCGGTAGCGTATTGATCGCACGCGGCTTACCGTCGCGTGCAGACTGGCGGCTAAACTCGCTCGGCGCTCGCGACTAGAAGGAGGACAGCGCCGACTAAACCACCCACCCAGGCGCTCTCTATGTTGTAAGCCGAATGAGAGTTGGTAGTTATGTGCCGCTGTCATTACATGTCCTAAACGAATGATGGTTGTTTTTATTCAGTAAACTTACAAGTTTATTTGCCTTTTTGTCAATTTGCCAGTTTGTGAAAAAAAAAAAAAAGAACACGCTGTCAAAACAAATTAATAGTCATGAAAATATTTTAAAGTAGTCTGCGGGGGGGGGGGGGGGGAGGTTTACTTATAATGTTACTTTTGTTACAAATTTTAACTATTTTAATTATCTTTTACATCACTGAGTAGCGATGGATGTCCTGTAACACTAGCCAATAAGCATTTGTATATAGTCTGATATATCTATATCTATCTATCTATAATATATCTATGTATCTATCTATCTATCTATCTATCTGTCTGTCTGTCTGTCTATCTATCTATCTATATATAATACAACAGAGCACCCCATGTCTACAGACATTAACATAAGGGACATAACTCTATATAATCAGTGATACAGTCAGAAAAATAAAAGAAAGACCTACATCATGCTGCCAATTAAGGTTTTTATTCCATAACTATCACAGCTATGCTTATTATCTAAACAATCGCATCAAAATGTATGCTTAAAAATTTATGAATAACAACCATTATGTAATAGTAATAAAGGTAAAATATAACCTTGACCTCTCCTATCATACTAGCTACTTAAAAAACAATTTTAATGATAAATAGTTCATTGGGAATGTATTTACAATTTTTTTTTCTAAGAATCTGAATTTTAAGACATGATAAACATATATTTTATAATAAAAATTTAACAGCAAGGAACAATTCTCTGTACACATTAAAAATAAGATGTACTATATAAAAAATGTGTCTGTTTGAAAATAGGAAAATAGTTTTAAATTGAGTGACAAACAAATATTTCACATAAATTTTTGTAGGTATAAATAAATATAGAATACTCAATGTGTTCAAATATTAGGCATAAAAAAGATCATTTTACAAGATGGATAGCAAAAATAACTGTTTCATTTAACAAGAAGTGGTAAAAAAGATGTTTTGTTTATACATAGAAAAAAACAACATAAAAATATAAAAGAGGATTAGTACAAAACAATGTTGCTGTTACTTCTGCTTTTAGCTTAAATAATATTTTCTTAATCATTTATTTTTGCACAATTGTATGTAAAAGAACTCATTATACTTTACTGAAATAAATATTTGCATTAAACATTTTACACATATCCCTTGAAGTAACTGAAATAGCTTTAAAGCTAAATTAACTTACAAGCTTAATATGTTTAAAACATAAATATATATTTCGCAGTTCGTAACCTCTATTGGAATTTAAGTGATTCCTAAATCAGTTTATTCTAAAACATTTAAGTATAGATCTCATGGCTCATAACCTCTCTCTGCACATAAGCTTCCCTCTTCCATGCAGTCTCTTATCCACTTCTCTGTCACGATATAGAATTTCCTTTGTCGTCGTCGGCGAATTTCTTTCATGCCACCAACTCTGCTTAGATCACTTAGAAAATTTTGGAAAGGATATATTTTTTAAGGCTTAAATTAAGTTCCTAAGTAAAAAAACTTTTTTAAAACATAATTTATGTTAAAATGTATATTTATGACAGCAGTTATTTGTTAGTATGTTTTAAATTTTTAACAATGTCGAGGTAAATGTGTATCTAGAATGTAAACAACTACCACGGCATAGCTTATGACTATGAGAAAGGGAATTACTTAAGATGGTAATTCTATAATTGTATCTTAATTGTTTTAATACCAAAGCACTCGCCTTAGTGCTAACTTAAATCAATAACCTGTCAGATATCACAGAAGAATGCCCAAGTTAAGTTTACACAAGGGAAATCACCAACCTGTCATGGACTAGCACATGAGACACCTCTTGATTCAATGTCTCAGAAATTTCTCCTCCAAAGAACCGTAACTCCAGCTCTAGGAGGTCTAATGGACTGTTTCTTATGCGAGTACTTGAGTCCCCAAAGGCAATACAGTTGTCTATATAAAAACTGAAAAAATGCAGTTTTCTATATAAAATCTGAAAAATTGGAGTTGTCTAAAAAATGTGAAAAAAGTAGTTTATGAAAGCTAAAAATTTCATTTTTTTAAAAATAATTACAAAAATTGTTTAAGGTTTATAATATTGTGTACACCTACATGCAAGGACGAAATAAACCGTAAGGGGATTCATCAGGAAAATTGTCTTCTTCCACTTCATGGATTACTTCCCTTGATAAAGGCTGGATGTCACCCTTTGCAAATGGCAAACAATATTAGAAAAACTTATTTAAAAAAACTGTTGACTGAACAAGCCTTAGAAAACTGCATACCCATGAATAAACTACCAAATCATCATCCATCAACCTATCATCCGACTATCAACCTATCATACACCTATCAAACTCTCATCCAACTATCAACCCATTCAACCAGTTGTCAACCTTTAAATCATCTGCCAGCCCATCAAGACTACCAGCCACTTACCATCCCTTCAAAAATGTTCCGAAGCTGTTCCTCTGTAACGTCTACCGTGTAGCTATCACCGAACTGGTCGTAGTCTTGTTCAAATGACTTGAGGGTGGCAGGGGTGCTGTAAATCATATCATTGGGTGACCTGGGCAGATTTACATAAAAACATGGATGTTTCAATGTGCAGCACAATTTTTCAAATTTTGTAAAATAAATATTTCCTTGTATAAGACTTTTAGAACAGCGCACACAGAAAATACATTTTGCACACTAGCTTTTCCCCCTTAGAGGGAACATTGGTGGTCAGGGAGTAGAGTGTTAATGCTACCCAAAAGTATCAAGTATGAGCTTTGAGTGGGATAGGCACATTGTGGTGGTGGTACATTACACATGCATGAAAGGTGCTTAAGGGATGTGTGATGAGGGATCAGGGTATTACTCACCCTCCAATCAAATACCACCCCCACCCCTGGTCATTTACCCCTATTACCACTACAAAAAAAAAACTACAATATTACATTACACCCCCACCCTTTGGTCATTTGGATAAAAAAATACTGATAGAAATAGGATAAGAGGGTTGGCATTAAAGTTAGGGATATGATTGGGGCTAGGTATAGGGATGATATGGTTAGGATTAGAGATAGGGTTAGTGATAATGACAGGGTTAGGATGATTGAGGGATAGAGTTAGGGAATTGGATATTGAAATGGATAGAGATAGGTATAGGTATAATATGTATTCTAAGGTTGTGCTAATGAAGGGGGGAGATGACCATGGATAACTGATAGGGGAGTCATAACAGACAACCCCAGTGAAAATTACTTGAGGGGAAACATTCACATTTAGGGCTAAGCTTTCCATTCAAAGAAACAGATGGATTCATCTACACCTATCATATGAAAGATTTTTAAAATTGTCCTAAATTACCTCCCATTTAGGTTAATGGAAATGGCAAAGACGATTAAAGAAGAAAAAAAAAGAAAAAAATTTTTAGCATAAATCTCATTAAAATAAAAATAATTCAGGATACATAGACAACAGTCATCCAAGTTAAATAAACAAAGTGAAGCAAAGATTTAAAAAAAAAAAACTGATGGATAAAACAATCTGAGAGCAACAAACCTACCATGAAATCCAAGACCCGCTATCAATGACACGCAATAACCAATCAGCCTTGACAATGTCATATTTGCCTTTTTTGATTAAGTTTTTAACCTTGATGGCAACTTTTTCAGCAATGACGCAAAACGTGGTTGTATCTGGAATTAAAGTCATTTTTATGTTCAGCCGTCTAATATTTTGAAAATTTAAAATAGTAGCATTAAGAAACTATTAATTTAAGAAAAAAAAACCCAAATTATACCATAAAATTACAGAAGATATTTGATTTATAGTAAAGTATTAAATAAAAAAACAAACAAACTTATTTTACAAACAAACAGACACAAACTTTCTCACATACAAGATAGTTACCAGGATTTTGTACAACATCGCCACCAAGTTCCACAATTTTTTTCTCCAGTTCCTGTTTGGGAAAGTGTGTTGGCCCATCAATCACACAGAATTCCTTACCTTCTAGTATCTCAGCCAGCTGAAAAAAGGTTTATTTTATTAAACTTTTAAAAGATTTTCTTTTTATTGCTTGAAATATTTTAGGATGGTAAAAACTCAAAAACAAAAAACTTTTTGCACAAAGTGAAGTTTCTGAAGTCTGGGCAAACAAGGGGAATGCTCAGACAAATTTACTATCCCCAACTTAAGTCAGGAACCCATCAGAGCTGACTATACTCAGGAGTTTTAGACACGAGAAATAAAATGTTAACTTTCAGGTTTTCAATCACACACTTAAACACTCAGCCAAACTGTCATATTAACAGCATCAGTACAGTAGTTTCATACAAGGACTGCTTTACAAATTTCTTACATTCCCAAATTGGCTGATCTTACTAAAAAAACATAAGATCTAAGTAATAACAAAAGTTAGCTGAAGCTTGACCACAGTTCTGATGGGTACCTAACTCACATTAGGGAATGTAAAGGCATCTAAGCACAGTGCTGACCACACAATTCCTTCATATGTTGAGATCACAGAAACAGGTGAACTTTACTTCACTTGCCCCATTGACCAACAGGTTCAAAAGGGAACTTTACTTTTGCCACAACTCGTCAGTAAAATTAAAATAGCTAAACAAATTCTTATAAAACAATTTACAATTAACAATTTACTTTTTTAACTTTAGAAACATCTGCTCCCTGAAACTGTGCCATTAAGGTTGGACGAACCACATGACTGACGACTTTGCGTTTCTTCTTGGTTGGTTCCTCCGCATCACCCAGTTCATACCTGGCTCCTGTCAGTTTTCCTCCAGATTTCTGGAATACAGAGATAAAAATGTTACTGTATGCTAACAGTAGAAAGATGAAAAATAAAATATCTTGTACGGTGTTGAATGAGTGAAACAAAACAAATATTGTTTGAAGTTGAAAAATAAAAAGATGGAAAGAAAAAACAGCTTATTTTGTGTTCAAAGAAAGTTAAAACATATTGCTAAACAAAAAAATGATAGAAGAAAACAACTTTCCATAGGCTTAATAAAAAGAATAAAATGCTGAATGACACAAAAAATAGTAAAATTAAAAGGGTCCACATAGAAATATTTTAATTTGACCTATTATGTAAATATTGGTACTGCTTTCCTGAATGTCTTTTGTTGCTATTCACTGATCCCATATTATTTTAGTTTAACCTTTCAATGCTACTATGTTTTAAAACTTCTGACTGACCTCTTTGAGGTCCTGGATGTCTTTTGTTGTCATGCACTGATCCCATGGTTTGTCATCCCTGATCTTCTCAACACGAGGAAAACGTAGCGTACATCCTGTCTTGAAGCGATCGCTGTCTATAATCTCAGAAGCTTTTACCTGATCAAAACATGAGTAAACCAAGTATAAATAACATCTCTAGTTCTATAACAACAAACTCATGACTCAGTCTGTCTACTGGCTCATCTTCTTGTTCTGATTTTAATCTATAATAATACATTTAATGATAATCTATTCATATTTTGTTACACTGTACAAACATTACAGTAAAAAGAATTGTTTCCTTTCATATTTTTCAGCATTGAAGGCGAAAGAAGCTGAGTTAATCTGTTTTAATGATGTCAGAATATAAAGATAGTAGTGAGGTCAGTTCTATGCCAGGCCGACTTTACTTTTCCCTAACATGAGCCAGGAACCTGTCAGAACTGGGTGGGCTCAGGGATGTTCTATGGAATCAAATCCAGTACACTACAGTCAAATTTGGTTTTTGTAAAAGCTAATATATTTTTATATCACTGAAGTTATGACATTTCCCTTCCAGTAGACACATAGAGAATGACTAATTGTAAGATTTTAGACTTGTGGGCATCACTAGAGAATATTTTACCTGTAAGATTTTAGACTTATGGGCAACACAAGACAATATTTTACCTGTTAGACTTGTGGGCAGCACAAGAGAATATTTTACCTGTAAGATTTTAGACTTGTGGGCAGCACAAGAGAATATTTTACCTGTTAGACTTGTGGGCAGCACTAGAGAATATTTTACCTGTAAGATTTTAGACTTGTGGGCAGCACTAGACAATATTTTACCTGTAAGATTTTAGACTTAGGGGGCAGCACTAGAGAATATTTTACCTGTAAGATTTTAGACTTGTGTGCAGCACTAGAGAATATTTTACCTGTAAGATTTTAGACTTGTGGGCAACACAAGACAATATTTTACCTGTAAGATTTTAGACTTAAGGGCAGCACTAGACAATATTTACCTGTTAGACTTGTGGGCAGCACAAGAGAATATTTTACTTGTTAGACTTGTGGGCAGCACAAGAGAATATTTTACCTGTAAGATTTTAGACTTGTGTGCAGCACTAGAGAATATTTTACCTGTAAGATTTTTGACTTGTGTGCAGCACTAGAGAATATTTTACCTGTAAGATTTTAGACTTGTGGGCAGCACTAGAGAATATTTTACCTGTAAGATTTTAGACTTGTCAGGTGGGAGCCACAGATCTGGCTTCTCCTTAAAGCCACTGGCCAGCTCCAGGTATTTGGGTGGGTTGTTCTTGTTGTAGACCTTCCAATGTTCTGCCAGCTCAGCATTAAAATCTTTCAGCTGTTTCTTGCTGTACCCTGAACCTACCTGCAACCAACATGATGCATACAATCATTTGTTTTAGCCTATACATATTAATATCTACATTAGTGATCATCAGAGAGAAATTAAAATGTTAAAACATATAGGAAGCATTGAATTAAACTTGAGCTCAGGTTTAGAACAGCTCAGTGAGTTGATGAAGGAAAGTCTTTCAATATCTGTGGTAGCATTTACATTCCCTGACATAATTCAAGTACCCCACCAGACGCAACCCCCTGGGCAAAAATATGCAGAGGTTGATTCAAGATGGTCTGGTCGAGTCGGTAAAGCTCATGGTTGCTAAACCGAAAAGTCTCGAGTTCGATCCCTCAGGCAGATGAGGCTCGTTAGCTGGAGACAGTAACTCTTCTAGGAGAGACAACTCCAAAATCAAACAACTGCTGCCTTGTAGTTTGTTCTTGGTTGGACAAAGGCAATGGAAGCAAATTCAAAAAGAAAAGCGGGCTGAAATCGGAGTCAATGGCATCAAAGACGCATCACCAGTTGACACGTATACTTAATTGTGTTAAGAACAAAGAAGAAGAAGAAAGATTCAAGAAGACATGGAAGTATAGCATGCTGGAGGAGGCTGAAAGAATAAGAAGGTATTTAGAAAAACTGATAAGATTGAATATAGACCGTGGGGAGTGGAAAGTTTTGATGGGAGGCTGGATGTACCACAAGAAAGGAAAAGGGATAATGTTGGTGACCAGAGCTGGGTGGGCTCAAGGATGTTTTACTGCTAAGACTGGAACCCAAGCAAAACTTGTCTTGATTATAGACTTAGTTAAAAAAAAAACAGCGGCAACAACTAATGTCATGTGTATTTTATTTACTAAGTAACTCATTGATGCTGTACACCAATTTATAGTCTCCCCTTTCCCAAAAAGCACTATTGCTTACGTGAAAGACTTGCATTACAGCAAGAATAAAACCTCTGTGGTGTGTTACTCCCCCTACCCCCCCCCCCATCCCAGACACATATTATACACATATACGTACATTAAAGACTTACTTTACAGAAGGAATAAAACATCTGTAGCATGCCCCCTCCCACCCTCACAAACAATATACATACACAAAAAACTTACTTTACAGAAAGAATAAAACCTTTGTGGTGCCCCCCCCCCCCTTACAATATACATACACAAAAAACTTACTTTACAGAAAGAATAAAACCTCTGTGGTGCCCCCTCCCCCCCCCCCCCCCCCCCCCACAATATACATACACAAAAAACTTACTTTACAGAAAGAATAAAACCTCTGCGGTGTCTCCCCTTCCTCCACTGGCTCAGCCACTGCACAGAGAAAATGTGACACCATGCCACCCCTCTCCCCCACACCGAAGTATCCCCCCACCACCAGCAGATCCAGCTCGTCCATCAAGCCACCCACATATTCTGGCTTTATCTTGAACCAGCCACCTGACACAAGAAACATATTAAAAAATATTCTCTTCATTGATGCTATATGGTTTTACACAAAAAACAAATGTCACAAATGATTTTTTTTTAAACTGTCAATACTCAAGGATTTTGGTTATGACTAGAGCACATGTTACAGCTAAAGTATAGGTTATACTATAGAGGTTAGGCAGTAGGGACTAGAGTTATAAAATTGATAAATACAAAAATATGTTATACTGAGGTATATATGTAGAAGCAATGCTTTTTCAACACTTATTAATTGATCCCAGATACATTCGCATCTTACAAGTCTACAAGTGAACTGTTTGGTTTAGGAGGTGTAAAGATTTGCTTCAACATGTGTATTATTTACTGAGAGAACTGCTATATATACAACCCACAACAGTCAGTATGTAGTAGGCAATCAACAGCCAACTATCCCACATTCAGATGAAAATGTAAAACTATTTTACCCTTTCTTGTGTTGGGTCTGTAGACCATCCCAAATTCACATGAAAATGTAAAACTATTTTACCCTTTCTTGTGTTGGGTCTGTAGACACTATCAGCCAGCTTGACCATGATGCCCTCTTCCTTGTTGTCGATGGCGTCATTTAAAGCATCAGCACATTCTTGGCTATGGGAAAAGTTTAATTTTCACAAGCAAAAATTATAAAAATAAATAAATAATAAAACAGTAAACGTTTGTGCTAGAAATAGTATTGGTTGTATGATAATTTATTTGATAAAACAAGGAGATAGGAAACAACAGTGTATGTTCCACTCATTCCCACACCTGATCCGAACATAAAACCACAACAGTGATAAGTACTATCAATTTTATATTTTTAGAAGTATAATGGCTATAAAATTCATCTGGGTTAGTAGAAGTGAGCTTAGTTTAGAAGCATTTTGCCTATGAAAATAATCCGTATAATGTATTACTTAGTGGTTGCTTCCTTGTATGTTGATGTCAAAATTCTCCCTGTGATAGGAGTAAATACATCTTTTAGGAGTGGGAGTCTATCTTTCAATGGCGAGTTGGTCAACACTTTGTCATTCAGTAGCAGCACATCAAAGACCTGGAATGATGAACATGGGTCATGATTTTAATCAACACTTCTCACATACATCAAACACCTATCTATGTCAAGATCATGTCTAATATGATGTTAGCTAAACATAATCAGTCAATGCACCATCTACTTTCAATGGTAAATTAATCAGATACATCATCAAGCATACATCATCACACATACATCATCATACATATATCATCAAACATTAATGAGGAAATAAAAGTTTAAATAGTTCTTGCCTGAACACAAGGCTGATAACCAGTTCTTTCAACTAAATCTTTAGATTTTACATCAAACTGCTCTCCCTTTGTCCCTGAGAAATTGCAAGCATACAGTTGACACATTTAATCTTACTTAAGAAGGAAATACTGTAGAATACTGTAAAATTTTATTATTAAGTGTTCATTATATTTAATATACTATTTAATTTGTAGGATCAAACATCGCAGTAACAGTGATATTTTTTTTACATGTCTAATTAACCTAGCAAATTATTTCTATTGATTGTGCTAATTATTTTTAAATTATTTCATAATAATTTTTTTCTTTAAACTGACCAAATGTTTTAGTTGCAGCATGATACCCCAGCATCTCTCCATCCAGTATACATTTCTTTACATCTGGCTTGAAGCAGTTGGCAATGTATGGAGTTAAGGTTCCTTCAAAGGGATTGGAGCCAAACACAGAAGTATATTCATTGCCACTAAAATAAAAAATTATGTTAAAAATGTATTCAGAAAACAATTTGGTTAATAGATTACAATTTCAATTAGAAAAACTTACTCATTCATAAATGTATTAGATTAATCACTTTAATTTCACCTGTAATCCTAATTTACAAAATTGGCTATTAAGTATACTAGACATATTCAGCAGAGAAATTTAAATTATATTTTATTTCTACCAGATATGACTATAGAAAAGCTATTTAAGTGTGTTTATGGTAGAAAATACCTCCTGGAAAAGTACTTGTACTCATCACCATCTTTGTGCAGTAAAACCCTCTCCCCATCGTACTTTGTTTCAATAAAATAAACTTTGTTTTCCATCAGCTTTTCTACCTGTCAAACACAAATACGACAAATATTAAATTGAATTTGTTCACAACACAGTATGTGGTCCACAGTTGAATTACAAAGATTAGCGTTTGTAAGGCAAAAATTGCAACATGATTTTTTTTTAAATTAGTGATTAATTTCTGAATGTAACTAAAAAATATATCTAGTATTTTTGCAAATAATCCAAAATTAGATAATGCAGGGAAACTGTCGTGAGCTAGATTGGAACCAAATCATTAACTCTCTTCAATACATTGATAAAGTATTTATTGAAACATATGGCTTTAATGGAATAAAATATGGTTGTCTGTCTCTATCTAGTTGGGTTCTCCACAGACCAACATATAGGTGTATGTTCCTACTTCATTCAGTTGTGTACACTGATCAACATACAGTTGTATGTCCCCATCTCAATGGGTGCTGAATAAGACATAGTGACCTTTGAAAGGGACCCATATTATTAAATGCCATTCACATAATTCACCAAAGAAAGAAAAAAATACCTTATCTGGTGAGGCCCTCTCACCCAACATTGGTGTAAAAGGGGAGAAAACTTCAATCCCTATTTCATAAGCTCTAGTTTTTGGATCCCTCAGTAGACGACAAACCTAATATAATTGATCAGAGTACAATTATCTTTCCTTCATTAACTTAAAAACAACAGTATGTAAATTAATTTTCTTAAATTATCAAAATAAATTTTTAAAAATAAACATAAGTTAAGAAATTTTATCTTTTTAAAAAAAAGGTAATTTTAATTTTATTGCAACGATTGTTTTGAAAATGAAAAGTAAAAATAGTAGCAATGTATTATATAAATCTGAATGTGTATCTTATATTTAAACCTTTTTGTATTAAAATGTCTTTTGTGATAAATGAAAAACATCACTAAAAATTAACTGTACCTATGTGAAACAACTTTGATACCTTTTCTAAGCTGTTGTTGACATTAAACAGTTCCTCCCCATCAGGATGATACACACTCAACACAGAGGCTTGGCTGAGCCCAATCTTCAACTCTTTCATTATCATCCTGATCAGCCATTTTATCTCTGTGGGGCTAAGAGAGGTCAGCAGATGCAGGATGCGTTTGCGCACAATATTTTTATCCTTGCTGGCATTGCCCATGGCGATGGCATCCAGGTCTTGATTGACCTCTTCAATAGTTAGAGAGCCTTTATCTGGACAGCGACTTTTTAGCACTAGATAGGCCACACTGGCAAAGTCTCCTGCATCCTAGCAATGGAGTTTATTAAGTTTATACTGTCACATGTTTTGTTGTACAATTAGCAACAAAATTTATTGTTGAGGGTTTGTGAATTTATAACATAAGCTTTTAACAATAGTAAACATTAATAGAAGTCAATTTTACAAATGTTTAAGCAATATCAGATTTTTATTTTCATTGCAACTATTCCACTTCAAAGCACTGAACATAAAAAACAGAAGTGAACAAAGTGTATGAGCGTTCAGTACTCACTGCTCTGGCAGTTTTTGGAGCCTTGAAGTTGAGCAGCTTGTGAGCATCAGGGCTGTCTTTACCCAGATACAGAACTTCTATCAGGAGCTTGGCAAATGTGTGCTGCAAACATGGAATAACTTACTTTAATTCTAGTTAAATGTTCATCAGATATTTGTAAACAATAACTTAGGCAAATGAGAAAAGCTCTTTTAATCACAAAGCTTCTTGAAAACATCTGTTGTTTTTTTTAAGTAACACTTGTATTATTAATGACATTTTTTTTAGTTTATTAATAACATTCCAATTATGTTCACATGTATTTGTGTAAGAAAGTAAGTATATATTAATATACTCTAATACAAGTTTTAACAGTTGACATTGAATTATTATTCTGTTTCTGTTTAAGTATAAATTAAATTACTTTAAAGTATGTTTGATAAAATTGTAAACCCAAATTTTAGTTATCAATAACCTTAGAAAACAGAACAATAATTATGTAAAACAAAAAAGATACAGGTAAACTAAAACAATAAGATGTTGATTTGATATTACATCACTAAATACCACTCTAGAATATGATGATTTTTGTAACCTCTTTGATGCCATAAGCTAATCTTTCTCTCTCAAGATGAGGAAGGAGCAATCTCATAGCAGGGTAAAAGGAATCACTCTGTGGAGGCAAATATTAAAAAAACATAAAGTTGAACAGCATTTATACATTCTACTTTATTTTTATGCACCTAAATTTTCAAAAAGAGAGCAGAGAAAATAACATCACCCATAATACTTTTTATGTAATGTATCCACAAAGAAAAAGGTGTGATGTAGCACTGACTAAATCTTTTACCTCTCCCAAGCTCTGTCTTTGTCTTAAGTTATACAGTAAAAAAACTAGCTCATTTCAAATAATAAAAAAATGTTAAAGCTCATTATATACTATCATATTTAAAGCTTACTATGGGGTTTTAATAACATAAGACAGTAATTTTAAGGTTCTCTATAAACTACATGATCTGTAACCTTCATAGAAGAACAAGATACCTACAGTGTCACTGTCATCTTTATGAATCTGATCATGAAAATCTCTCCACTTGTCCACAAAATCTTTCAGAATTCTTTTCTTTTTGTCGTTGCCCTGTGTATTGTGTACTTTTTCTAAAAGTCCACATATTTCTGAAAATTTAACTTTGGAGGCTACTGTACTCAAAGCTGAGTTATTAGAACTTGCCATGCTCTGAAAATAAATATGTGAATACTAGAAAAATAGTGAGTGAGATCCCATCTCGTTATTGGTTGCTTAGGACCCCATAATATTATATAGTCAATACATTTAATATTTTATAGGACAGCGTGGCATAGGGGGAGAGTGCAAGACTGCTACCCTGAAAATTCAAGTCAGTAGAATGTCCCTGAGCCCACCCAGCTCTGATGGGTACCTAACTTATATTGGGGAAGTAAAGGTGGCTGGGCATAGTGCTGACCATACCATCCCTTCTTATGCAGAGGTCAAGAAGAATATGAATTCTACTTCAACTGACCAATGGATCATTAGGTCGAAAAAGGAATCTCTAGGCCTTTTTTTTTTACATTTATGCCTAATGTTTAAAATGTAACTGAAATGTTTTTAGTCCATATTTCTACTTTTTGAAGCCATTCTAGACTTACTAAGACAAATGGTTAAAAGGTAGATTTAAAGAAAAGTAACCAGTTAGGCTACTATTAATTACATAGTTACATTGACAATGTTTCTATTCAGATATGTCCTTGTGTTTTACAAAATTATACCAACAACCAGAATCTAGTTTAATTAAGTTTAGGACTTTTGCCCCAGAATAGTGAGAATATGATATTAAATATTAGATCTATGATCTATCTGTAAGTGTAACCCCAAACCACACAATTGTAGGCCTAGACTACTACTTTCTACTGACTGTACTACAGTTACTGAGTTACAGTACAGTACAGTAGTGTCAGTAGTGAAGTGAGGACTGAGTAGTACATTAATATTATTAAATGTTATTAAAAATTAAAGTTTAAATACATTTCATTTGAGTTACAGTACTAGAGTACTACTAAGAACTACACTTAAGACTTAACTTCACATACATAACATTAAGATGATTAACACAACAAAAGTGACAACACAGTGTGAGGGTAAAACTCCATTTTAGCGTATTTTATTCCCCGCTTGACGTTCACCTCCAGTTGAGCGTATTTTATTGTAAACACAACCGAAACACACAAAAACGTTAGGAAAACACAGATCTATTTATTTATTTTTATAAATGCGATTTTTTATTAGAAAAGGTAAAAAAAAACATAAAAAAGCATTAGAACTGTTCCAATTAACTATCGTGTGATCGTCAGCGGGAGAAAAATCCTTACACGCCTTACACGGTTGCGGGTTCACCGTGAGTTCACATTTACTTTAATTATCAGCATATGTCATAGCTCGGGCAATAGCTGTTTGAAATTGTGTTGGCCTTAGTTTTGGGGTCATTGTAAGTTCATTAATGTTTATTTATAGTATCATGCCTGGGAGATACTTGTAACAGTACAAACTTACCCGCCTTTGCAGCCAATTGTGAGTTAAGTTTTTAGGTATTTCACCCATTGCCATGAAAATTCTGACGCACGAACATTGCACATTCAATATTCTAAATTTGGATTTTTCTCAACTTTTAACAAAAGTAAATTATCAAAATCTAAAAAAAAGTCAGTCTCTTTGTTTTTTTTTATTCATTTTTATTCATTTGTTAAAACAAAATACAATACAAATAATAAATCCTGTTTTCCTAATGTTTTGGTGTGTTTCGGTTGTTATAATAAAATACGCTCAACTGGAGGTAAACAAGAAGCGGAGAATAAAATACGCTAAAATGGAGTTTTACCCAGTGTGAGTGTGTGTTACACTGAGTTTACATGAGTGTACTTGCTGAAGGAAGAAAAAATAGACAGTGTCGTCAACAGATAGGCAAATTCAAAACTTACATTAATGTAAAGTAATAAAACTGTGAAGTTGAGGCAAGGCTAAGGGCGGCTACTTTATAGATCTAGATCTAGATCTAGATCTAAGATCTAGTACTTCCAATATTTACTACAGTTGATTTGAGTCGGATTGCTGTAGGTTAACGTGCAGTAGCCTACTCCTTAGCAGTACAATAATGTATTGTAAATGTAAAAGATGGATCCCACATTTTTTAAACGAAATAATACTTTTAAAAAAAAAAAGTCTAACACCGAGGTGTGAGGATAATGATTAGGAAATGTTATTTGAATATTTGGCTTTGAATTGAAAAAAAATGAAAATGTGAGAAATATATTTATAAATATATTAAGAGTTAAGGGCTGTCCATAAAGGACTTTTAAGATCATGTGCCAATTCTGAGGGGGAAGGGGGAATAAAAGTCCTTAAGTTTAACAGAATTGATATTTCTGAAAAGGGGGTTAGGTCAGGCATTTTGTGATACTGTAACAAGAGGTGGTGGGATTTAAATTACATGACTTTATTTATGGACAACCCCTGAGATGTCAGATGAAGAGTTGACATTTTAAATTATATTCAAAGTATTGTTATTAATTTCTTTACAAGAATAGCACATATGCCATAAAATAATGTCAAACATTCTCATCACAGAAGATGCCCACACAAAATGAAATGTCTTCACTTAATGTGAAAAAGATTGTGGTTGTTTTTTAAATAAATTCACAAGCTTAAGAATCCAACAAATTTTCTTTCTGAATGACTTTTAGGATGTCAAAAAAGGCTGCGGTAATCTAATACTTAATTATAGGGTTTAATTAATAATTTAGTAAATTTGCTCCTCGTTAGTTAATTGATACAAATTTCCAGAACAAGATGATGCCAGAAAGCAGCCTAAAGGTTGACCTCCCACCTAAATACTCTTCCGTCAAATAAGCTTCAGAGTTCATCACAAACATTAATTTACATTGAGTCTTTTTTAACACTGAAATGAACTCAAAGACTATTAAGTTGTTTTATTTTTAATAGAATTTTTCCCAAAGCAGTCCATCAAAATCAACAAGTTTACATGAATTTACATGTTAAATCATTAACATACCCTAATAACACTCAAAACAGATCCATTAGCAATAAATCAGATATTATAAAACCATTTTAAATACCCTACCAGACTTGCACTGCCTTTGTGGCATGTGTTGTATAGCACTGTTACAATAAAACGACTGGATGGCAATGATGCTGTAAAACATCAAATGAAGTGGGAGAAAAAAGAAGAGCAAATTCACCGAGATTCCTTTTACAAACTACAATTGCGAATAAATGATCTGTACAGAACCAAAACACTTAGCAATTGGAGGATTAAGTATTAACCTAGAAACAATCCCTGATAATTGATATACCATTGCCACAACACTACAACAGTTCGAAAAATAATAATTAATCATAAAAAATGAACAAAGAAAATCTAAATATAGTAGGCAAAAGAGTTAAAGTGAATACAAATATTTCATAAGGGGTAAAACTCCTACAACAAATAAGTAAGCTAATTCACACACACTAGAAAATCATTTTAAAAAATTGTGTTCATTTTCAATTTTTGAATTTGAAACAATTACTAGGAGGTGAAAAATGAAAAGAAAAATAATGAACCACAGATAAAACAATCAAGGGTTTAATCTTTGTAAATAAGAGTTAATAATAAAATAAGCAGTATCAAAGTTTATAAATGAATAGTTACTTTAAATCATTTTAATGCCACCAGGTTTGATATAAAACCAAACAAAAACAAAAAACAGTCCAATCATCTAGACTAGAGTTAATGTATGTCCAATAAAAGTGATAGTCTATCAAAATTGTTTAAATTAAAAAGGTAAGCACTAAAATTATAATATGAATGATTTTTTTTTTAATGAAGTGAAAATAGAAATTATATTTAAAATGAAAATTAATAAGAAGCTTAATCAGGTCAAATTATAATATAACTAACGCATGAAAACTTTCTTTAACATCAAGAGGAAAATATCAAAGCAGTTTTAGAGAAAATTAGAAAATAAACTTGAGGTAAATTCACAATTCAAATATAGAAAATAAGTTTAAGTGTTTTAGTTGCACAATAACATTTGAAGAAAAAATAGATTAACAATGAAGTGGAGGTATACATGAAGACTGATCAGTGCAAAAAGTGTTTATTTTATATATAAGAATAGATATTTGTGTAAAAAGAATATATTTTAAACTTGATAATTAGTTGGTAAAGAAATATTTTTAAACTTGTAATATTGAAAATCAAAGGGTGGATCTTAAATTATAACAAATAAATATTTCTTTTTTTAAAATACATTGGATGGACACAGTTTATATTGAAAAAGTGTATATGGTTTTCACTCAAAAGATGTTATGAAAAAATTGACAGTTAAACAGGGGGTAGATTTGTGCATACAACTAAGATATTCCTCTTTATTCAGTAACCAATTACAAATAAAAGTTCAAATGGCACTGAAGATCTGTGTAAGATAATTTCCCACAGGCATAGAGTCCAGCAATGGTAGCTCCTCTAGCATTTAACCTGAAAGTGTCAAATTATTAAATAATTAGGAAAGAAAAAACTTAAGATTGCCTAAAAAAATGCAATTTCATGAAACAAATTTACAAACTTGTTAGCAGTAAAAGACTAATTATTTAATTACTGAATTTTTTAACATATTAAAAATATTTAACAAACTATGAACACTTTCTTGTTTATAACAATCAGCTTCTTTTAAAGTAAATTAAATATGTATTTAATCCAAGTAAAAAAATTGTTTAGCTATTTAAATAGTTTATTTTATGAAGATTAATAAACAAAATCCACAAAAATGTATACAATTATTTCACAATTGGAAAAAAAATTTCATATAACTGTAAAATTATTTAACAAGAAAGAGAAACAAAAAAAAAGAGGCATAACCCCCAGCGGGAGCAGCAGGAGTGGCCATTTTTAGAACAATTTAAAAACTGAAACTTAAATGCTCAATTCAATTTTTTATTTAAAATCAATTAACAGCAAACTTTAAAAAAAACCTTTACCTCATCTACATAAATTTACTATAACTCGCTTCTTAATTCTTAGTTCTTTAAGCATTATCAAAACTTCTTAAATTGTCAACAGGTCTTTTGATTGAGCTGCGTTTATTTACTGGTACATAAAAACTCTGTAAACAATACAACATCATCTAGCATTTGAAGCATTTGTCACAATACAAATGCTATAAATTAAATATTATTAATTCCAGCATACAATCAAACTTACTGTAAGGGTTGGATTTCTTGAAGATTTTAAACTATTCCATTAATATGCTATTAACTTAAATTTGATTATGTAAAGTATTTTGTATTCATACATAGCTTGAATGTGGTTTAAAAAAATGTCTGTAGAGTGTGTACAGATAAATATATAATTTTTTTTTTTTTTTACATAAAAAATTGGAACTTGCATATTAAACTTACAGCAGCTCTAAGGGCTTGGTCTAAGGGTTGAATTTCTTGAAGATTTTAAACTATTCCATTAATATGCTATTAACTTAAATTTGATTATGTAAAGTATTTTGTATTCATTCATAGCTTGAATGTGGTTTAAAAAAATGTCTGTAGAGTGTGTACAGATAAATATATAATTTTTTTTTTTTTAAATGAAAACTTACAGCAGCTCTAAGGGCTTGGTCCAGATCATTAATCAGATCTTCAATGTCCTCCAAGCCAACAGACAAACGGATGAGAGAGTCAGAGATGCCGAGTTTCTTTCTCTGGTCCTCTGGGACTGAAGCATGTGTTTGCAAGGATCTAAAAGAGATTAGAAAGTCTATAATTAGCACAAACTGCTATTTTTCAGTATGTTTATTTTTAAATATTAGAACAAAAGATAAATTATAAACTTAAAAACAAACTGCCATAAATTAAGCTTTTTAAAACATTTAACATCTTTAAACCATGGTTTTTTTAATGCATAAAAAAGGTAAAACTTACGGCAATTCACAAAGACTCTCAAATCCGCCTAGACTTTCAGCCAAGGTGAAAATCTAGGAAAAACAGAATTATATTTTGATTACATCTAGTCTACAAATCAAGCTTGTTTTACAATAAACATTATCATTTAGAAAAAAATATTGCTACTTTATACTAAAAAACGTATTGTTAATAATGTGGGATAACCGAAACTAGCAAAAGGTTGTTTTTTTAAAAATCAAATTGTCCAACATTAATTTTTAAATAAAATGAGATTTAGAAAATGATAAAAGACTTATATAGTTAGAGAAATATAACCTCAAGCTACCTTCACTGATTTTAAAAATGTTTTTGATGCCTCCAGACCACCTTTGATGAAAAATATCAGCATGCCTGAGTATCCAATCATCTGTCTTTTCCCCAACTCATACTGGGGGTGCGAAGGAAGGCCTACAGTTATAACAAACAATGTTTTAAATTACTTAGTTTAAAATGGGCCTGGAAAGTAAAATTATAGTCCCAATAATTAAGGTACACTAAATTTGTAGTTTTACCAGGATGGACCACTCTCTCCACAGCAGGATGCGACTCAAGGTACCTTGCTACAGCTAAACCATTAATCATGTGCTCCTTCATTCTGACTGCCAGGGTCTTCATGCCACGATTACAGAGGTAGCAATCAAATGGGGAAGGAACAGCTCCCAGAGCTGAAAATAATTTTTTTTAAATATTTTAAAATCGTACTAAAATGTATTAGTTAGGCACAAACCATTTTGTTGAACAGATTCTTTGAAATATTTACTAGAATTTACGTACAGCAGAGACCATCTTTTTATCCACAGATAACATATTATTAGTTAATATTGAATAAAAAAAACTAGAGTAACTTTAAATAATCTTTAAAATGCACTAAATAAAGCACAAAAAAAACTTCTTTTGTAAAGATTTGGTGGCTAATGAAATCTGATACATATGCAACCATATTTGAACAAAATTGCTGCATTAGAAGTGGGTCAAAAGATTTGACCAACAACACTCCCTAGTAAATAAACATTGAGACATAGGTAAAAACTTGTGAAAATAGATCAACTTACAATTCTGGAAAAACCGAAGTTTTTCAGCCAGGACGTCATCGTTTAGTAGAATGGCACCCATGATAACATCACTGTGACCTGAGAATTAAAGGGCAAACAGTATTTTAATATACTGGGTGCACAGCTTATAAACAGAACTGAACAGCTGGAACAATTTAATCAAGAACACTGTATAAGATTTCTGCTTGAACAGAAATTATGGATCAAAAAGCATTCTGTTCTAAAAATGTATAGTCAAACATAGTGAATGAATTTATAAGCTTACCATTCATGTATTTAGATAAAGAATGCATGGTCATATCAGCTCCCAAGGCTAATGGTCTCTAGAAATTGAAAACAATAAAAATAATGTATGTTTATTAATAGAATGAGATACAACTAGGTAAAACAAAGTTGTTAATTTCAGACTAGTGAAATAATCTTTACAGGACTTTAAAAAGAACATGTTTGTGTTTTATTCAATAATGTTGCAAAAGGTTAAACACTACATCCCATATACAAAAACTAAATTTTAAAATAATGAAAAATAATGTTAACTACAAGGAAAAAGTTTTTTTTTTTAAATTTAATGGAATTCAGAGATTTAACAAATTCATAATCTTGGTTTGACACAGTAATTAATCAGGCCAAACGCAACTAACCTGAAAATAAGCAGACATGAAAGTGTTGTCGACGACAACAAATGGCTTCACTTCCCACGAGCTGGTCTCTGATCTCACAGCCTGGCACACGGCTGCAATGTCCACAATTTTCATGGTGGGGTTGGTGGGCGTTTCTATCCATATCATCTAAACACAAGATGCTTACTTTCAAAAATGACTACAGAAACATAAGTTATGACTAATAATTTAATACAATTCACGAATTCAAAAAAAAAAATAATAATATAATAAAATAGGAAGAATCAAGAAACTAAGTGCCTTAGTAATCAGCTTAAAAGAAAGTAAATGATGTATAGTCATCCTGAAGAAAGTATCTACAAACTGAGTTGAATGGAGAATAATTGTCTTAACCCTTTGATCCCCCAGAAGATAATTTATCCTCATCTTTTCCTGTTCAAGCCCAAAACATATGAGGCAGATGAAGTACAGTGCATCTGTTTTAATGACCACAGGGGTGTATACATAACATCTACTTAAATATTGTTGGAAAAAATCTGCTTCTAAAAATAGAAATAGAGCACAAACAAAAGACCAAAAAGAAACAACTTACTCGTGTTTTTGGCTTTAGTGCATCAACAACATTTTTAACCTGAGTACAGTCAACAAACGAAATGTCAAGGCCAAATTTAGCTGCACATTTACTAAAGTAGCGGTTGGTCCCTAAAAGGTACATGAAAAAAACACTAGTTGATTATTTTATGCAAATTTAATCTTGAGATGTTAACTGCTTTCTTTTTTAATGTCTCAACTAGATATTTTATGGAATACATACCACCATAGACATCATCCATGCTTATCACATGGTCTCCATTATTTAGTAAATGAGTAACAGTCATTGTTGCTGCCAATCCAGATGCAAAGCACAGACCTAAAACGGATTTTTTAATTCAACATCGTCAACATTTTTTACAACAAGATTACAAATCTTTCTTGTAATCAGTGTTAGTTAAATTGGGGATTGTTTGAAATGGCAGCTAAACAATAATAAACTTGCTTTTTGCTAACATGAGACGGCTTGTCATGAAAGGAAAAAGAAATGGAAAATCAAGACTGAGAAAAGACTTGATGACTAACTATGGCAACAGTAGCATAACTGACAAACTGAAGATGAGAAGCTACTACAGATCAAAATCTAAGTTTGAGAGTCTGTCGGCAATCATCTCAGATGAAGGGTTCAGACCTAAACTGATTGCCATAAATTGCAGAGACAACACACACAATTACAAAGCTCAAAACTGAAAGAATAGAGAAAGACACAGACCTTTGTATAAAAATCTAGCTAATGTGTCTCTGAGTCATGGCCACATTTCTTTATGCTTGCAAAATCCTAGACACTAAAATCAAAAGTTGAAAATATAGCTCAACCCAGGAAAAGTGAGATGCTATAGAAAGTTACTAGGAATCACATATAAACACTGCATCTCCAATGATGTACGGCAAGAAAGGATCCAAGGATCAACTGGGGGACGAGGGGAATCATGATAAAAATAAAGGCTCAGAATTTTTATAACAGTACAGGGACTAGAAAGGCTTTCCTATAAGTTACAATACCAGGCAAATAAAAAAAAAATAGAGAGAAATGGTGGGAGGATAACATCAAAGAATGGATAGGTGTAGATCTCACACTGGATTAAACATAGAAGATGGTAGAGGACAGTTTGAAGTGGAGGCAACTGGTCAACCGGACACTTGTGGTACACCAACAGACTACAGCACTGATAGATTAGAACACATTGGGTTACCCTTTGATTATACAAAATAACCATTTTAAAGGGATAGGAACAAAGCTAAAAAAAAACAACTATTTCATAAAAGGTGACTATCCTTTAAATGATGTTAGATACAAACTAAAAATTGATATACAACATGTAGGTATTCATAGTTGTATTTTTATATGTTCCTAATCTCTTTTCTGTCAATCATAAAATAACCTCATGTTAAAATGTTTAACTTATTTATTTTACATTCAAAACAAAAAGCAAAAAAAAATTAATACTCGCATTATTAATTAAGCTGCAAAAAGAGTAAATAATCTGACTGCATGAGTTTTGTGGAACAGGTGTTATATATTTTTTTTATACATCTGTGCCAGTATTCAACTATTTAACTCTCTACAGATGTGTTACTAGGTAATAGAAAATAATAGGCTCCTTCTGAAGTCAAAAACCATTGCTCTGCCAGTATTTAATTATTAACTCCCTAAAAATATGCAAACAGAATAAATAGGCTAACCATGCTTTGCTCCTTCTGACGCTGCTAAACATTGCTCTAGACAATTGCGAGTAGGATTTCCACTGCGAGAGTACTCAAAACCCTAGGATATAAAGAAAAAAGTTAATTTTCAAAACACAAAGACACATGCTAAATTATGAGGGGGAGAGGGGGGGACTTTTATGACAGATGACAAATATTTTCAAATACACTTTTTTTAAAAGACGGGAAGGAGTTGTAGTGTAAAAAAAATAGGTCATAATGCTGTAAAATTTTTATTTTTTACATGTTTTTTTGTTCTTTAGCAAAACAGGTAGGACAAAAGAAATTAGCATTCATGGCTCTCAATAGAGATCAATTTGCTATAATTTTCGCAACATATGGCAATGAATTTGAGCCACATAAAAGCCAGCAATATAAAAAAAGTGTCATAAATAAAGTAAGCCAAGTACAGTTTTATTCTTATCTATCTGATACTGTCAGGTATTTTACATACTTAGCAATATAATGTCAGCACTCTGGATCAACTTCTACACTATGGAGCTTATCTCCTTTTTTTTTTTATATAAAAGTAATTAAAAAAAAATTAGGTTAGCAGTTTCTACAGTGGAATTTGAAATGACAAGCATTGCAATTATCACATTATGTATGGCTGTAGCCTGTAGTTACTTTTACTATTAGTAAAACGCTGAATCATGGTGATTCAACTAAATATGAACAACTGCATTCAGCTGGAATAGTGAAGAGGTGTCATATAAAACTCAACACTCATTTAACTGAAATCTTTGCCTAGTACCCATTCTAATACAGACTTGTGCATAAACTTATGAGTGACAAGTTTTAGCCTAAAATATCAAGTGTATGACTCACCCATACATCATATACATATTCAGAGATTTAACAATACTATCCTACACACAATTTCTTTTTCAACCTCATATTTTTTATTATAAAAGGAAAATATATATTCAGATATCCAAATCATTTTCTTCCTATGGAGTTAGTTCATAGTTGTATATAAATAAAAATTTATTAATTCCACAAAACATAAAAATGTTAGGACTATAATTTATAATTATTTGAAGGAGATGTAGAACTTTGTGATGTAAATTTAGAGGGAATCAGGGGAAGGAGGGTATGATGTATGATGTCACTAATAGCCTGCTCTCTTGAGATGTACAAAAAACAGCTTCAACCAATCCTCAATGTCAAAAAGGCCTGTTACCTACTGTCTCCTGACAAATAGACCTGGACTAATTGACTCAAGGCAAATAACTCTAAGACTGGTCAAAATGACTCTTAACAAAAATGACATTCAACAAGAATTTCCCTGACAAACATGTTAGAAATGGCCACAGCAATATTATTCCTGACATTATAATATATTACCCTTAACAAACACTCACATGTAAATATTATAAGACTTTGGGTATGTGTTCAGTGGGAGCTTAATTTTCTTCCCAAGCTTAAAAAAGTGTATATCAGCAACAGCCTAATCATAATCTACTGTAAGCTGCAGTCACAGCTTAGTTTATAGTAGGTCGATAGGAAGTATTTGTGAAATGGGGGATTAAAATCAAACTGTAAGAAAAGAAAAGTATAAAAAGCAACAAAAAATATCCTAATATATAAAAGCCCATATGTGCACTTCTCTTTCTCTGTTTGTCCTGGGCTATGAGATCATAATCTTCAACAATGTGTAGAACTTAAAAAATATACAGTTTTGATGAGATAATCAATTTAGGCGGACGACCAAAACAATACTTTTGCCAGTCAAAAAATAATAAAGCTTAATTAAAAAATGTATAAAAACGTTTTAATAACAAGCTTTTATGAACTAATGCACTAAAAAGTAGAAAATAAATGAGTTTCTTTAAATAAATATAACTATTAAGATAAGTGTGGGTCTCTTCCTAAATATTAGTAAAAGTGTCTAATAGATAATATAGTATCCCACGGTTTTCTTTTTAGTTATAGACCCCTTGGTATATATTTAGTATATAATATAATCGAAAGTTTGAGGGGGGGGGTGCAAATCGAAAGTTTGAGGGGGGGGGAGGTGCAAATCAAAAGTTTGAGGGGGGGGGGGGGGAGGTGCAAATCGAAAGTTTGAGGGGGGGGGTGCAAATCGAAAGTTTGACCCAGGGTACAAATTGGAACCCCCCCCCCCCCCCCTGAGACGATCCTGGCTATGTCACTGGACTAACTAATTATAAACTAAATTAATAATTATAATATTATTAGGCTCTATGGCTATTCTTTTGGTATAGATAAAGAATAGATATACAGAATTTTAAAATTAAAAACTGCTGAATGTCTAGAATCTACTGACTCACACTGTGCTCAGCCGGTGCAAACTGTTTAAAAGTTGTTGATGTTGAAATGGGAGGTATCACTGCCATGGATTTCCATTGTTCCGGATCTTGTCCTTCGTGTATAATATCAGTAGAAATATTTGGAAAAGGCTTAAAATTTTCTAAATCCATATTAGATTTTGAGGAGAAAAACTTAGACCTAGTTCTTAATAAATTTATAAACCTTGCAGCGGCGGATGTTACTAGCCTATGTTCGTTACGAATGGAGAGCTTGGTAGTGAATCGTGGAAAACAAAACATGTCATGGGGTCATGCGGGGTCAACTACTCCGTCTATTATTTTTGAAAGATACGCTTTTCAAAGATATTTACACTTTTTATTAGAGGCTGCTTTTCTTTTTATAGTTCACAATGTCTATTTGTTTGCTTGTGGGTTGTGGCAAACTCAATTTAAATCCAGTGATTTCATTCAAGATTTCCAAATACGTTCTACTTTGATGACAATGCAAGGAAATCTAGTTTTTAATCAAAGTAGATTAGTAGATAGACAGTTGAATCTAGTCCAGTCATTACAATTTCATTAAGAAGTGGCAGATGTTTAGAGATCGCGTATAGTGATCTATACTATAGTCTATTGATCGGATTTTAAAGCAAATATTTCAGTCGTATGTGTTATCAATTTAAGAACGGGTTACTAAAAAGGAGAAAATAAAATAAATAGGGCATACAAAAAAAATTAATAATAAGCTTTCAAATACACTTTTTAAAAAACAACTTCTTTCTCTAATAAAAGCAATATCGCTCGTAAAATCTACACATTTTGGCGACTAATGCTTTTATTACTTTATTAGAGAAAGCAAGTTTAATTTTTTTAAAGATTTAAGAAAGAAAATCTTATAATAATAGACCTATAATTGTAAAATATTTATGTTATTTAAGTACTCATTAACTCAATGGTGATGTGTGTATATGCGCCCAAGCGGGGGGGGGGGGGGGGGGGGAAGAGAGAAATAAGGATTTTCATATTAAAATTATGTTAAACATCCATTGCTTTGTTTGAAGTTTAAATGTAGGACTTTCTATATATGGAGTGAATAGATCTATAAGTCTATGTCTTTTTTCTTCAAAACAGTGTGATACTGTATGTTTCTTGATTTTTAGATATCATTATATAGATATCAATTTTATTTCATGAATAGGAATATTTTTCTAGAACTATTAAATATTTTAAAAAATTTATGAGCATATACACTAGTAACATTCCCCCCCCCCCCAGGTCATCGAATCAGAATAATTCTACTTCATCTGCCCCATGTATTTTGGGCACGAACGGGAAAAGATAAACACTATTGCTAAAGGGTCATCCATAAATGTCGTCACGCTTTTTTGACGATTTTTACCTCCCCCCCCCCTCCGTCACACGTCGTCACAAAAAGCCAGGGACCCCCCCCCCCCTAAAATGACGTCGCATCTCAGCCTACACCCCCCCCCCCACCTGAAAATTGCTGTTGAATTTTTCTTAAAACATCGATATTTTTTTCCAAAATCTTGTCTGAACTCTGTCAACATAGAGTATTCTAATCAATTCCTATTACAATTTGTTGAAACCGTTTTCTAAAACGCGAAATAACGGCTAAAACTCGTTTTCTAAAATTGCTTTTTTATAATGCAAAAAAGTGACGTCACACCATCTGAACCCCCCCACCCCCCAATCACAAAATTACGGACCCCCCCCCCCCCCTCCCACTACGAGTGTGACGTCATTTATGGACGACACTTAACCACAATTATTGGCCTATAATAAAAATGGCCCAAAACAATCTTTGTAGTTGTTCAAGCGAGGTGAGATGCAGTGTGTCTTTAGTTATTTCACATAAGCTCTCCACCCTACCCCTGGAAGTATCAAAACATGCCTATCATCGTTAATTTTTCGAAACTTTTGTGGGATAGCAAATCTCCATCTTCACTTATAGATCGAGGGAGGGGAAAACTCCATAAATGATGTCATTTTTTTGGGTGGTAGGTGGTCAAACTTTTGTGACAATGTGTGAAAAGAAGTTAAGAAATGATGACATCACGCTTGCGTATCTGCTTTTCAAAAAGTGATTTTTTAAATTGACAAAGCTATAATGAATTAAAAAGAAATAGCAGTTTTAAAAATTTTGGTGCCAAGGTATAGACAAAAGTGCTGTGTCATTTTAAAGTGTTTGATTTTTACTTTCTCGTATATACGAAGTATAGAGAAAGTCTTGCAATCGTGCAAAAAAAATCGAGATTTTATTAACACGTTTTTATTAACTCAGCTTCGCGTGGATGTGTTTGTTGTTAAAATTGACATCGAAAATTAGCCCACTTCTGATTGCTCTATAGATCTGAAATTTGGCATGCAGGTTACTTTCGCCTAACAATTTCAGATGCAATCATAAAAACTAGCAATTAGAGACCGTAATTAGCTTAATTTAATTACGCCCAAAGGACCATAAAATTGAGGACATGATTTCTAAAGATACCGACAAGACTGGAGGCTTGTTGACACAGTTACTTCGGCCCCAATCGATGTGAGCGCGCTGGCCGTGATCGTATAGTGGTTAGTACTTCGCGTTGTGGCCGCGACAACCCAGGTTCGAATCCTGGTCGCTCAAGATTTTTTTAGTCCGTGTATTTATAAACACTTTTTTAAAAACCACGTTTTTCATGTGTAGCAACGGACTAAAAAGGAGAAAATAAAATACTTAAAAAATACTTTTTAAAAAACCACGTTTTTCTTGTGGACTAAAAAGTAGAAAATAACTATTTTCATACATTTGATGACAAAAAACGTGGGTCGGGCAGATGGGTCGGGAAATTTGATGGTGAACGTACCCACGTTTTTTGTCATCAAATGTATGAAAATAGTTATTTTCTACTTTTTAGTCCACAAGAAAAACGTGGTTTTTTAAAAAGTATTTTTTAAGTATTTTATTTACAAATCTCGACGTTTTACACCTCACTGATACGGAAAAACATAATTTTGCAATCTTGTCCGTATGTCTGTGCGTCTGTCTGTGTGTGTGTCTGTCTGTGTGTAAACACGATAACTTGAGTACCGTTACAGCTAGGTTGATGAAATTTCATATATAAGTATTTTATCAAAATCTTAGATCCTGATCAACTTTTGAGCGATTTCCGATAACCGGAAGTGTTACTTTTTCTACTTTAAATTTTTCAAAAGCCTATAACTTGCATACTGTTTTAGATAGATGCATGAAATTTCACATGTAAGTAAACGATCTAATTCTCTACCTTCTGTCAAATTTTGAGTAATTTCCGTTGACCGGAAGTACTAATTTACGCTATTTCCGATTTCTCAAAAAATGCATGTAAATTTATAAAGTACTCATAATATTGCGCACTATTATGCACATTTTGTTTTGGCGTTTGCTTGGTGCGCAATTCTTTTTTCTATGAGATTCTATTCTATTTTTAAAAGTTTAAGTAATTAAAAAGCATGTCTATATTCCAAGTTATATAAGATTATTCGAGAAAGTTTAGGGGAGATCACTCCTGGTTTATTTATTTTTTGTGATGATGTATCACAAAGTTAGGGTGTTAGAAATAAGCAAAAAAACGTACATCGTTTCTGGATGATGACTAGGTAAGCTGACTTCACCAATCCAGGCATTCATTGAAGCTTGGGTGAACACTGGGATATGTTGAAGATGCTCTACTCAGAGCAGTATGGAGGGTGGCATGGTTGAGTTGGTAAAGCTCATGCTTTGTAAAGGTAAACCAAAAAGTCTCAAGTTCAAACTCTTGTGCAGATGAGGCTGTTAGCTGGGGACAGCTAGGAGAGACAACTCCAAAATCAAACAACTGCTGCCTTGTAGTTTATTCTAGGTTGGACAAAGGCTATGGAAGCAAATCCAAAAAGAAAAACAAGCTGAAATTGTGTTGGAGGGGATCCCTTCCAACACTAAAAATTACAAACGAAGAAGAAGAGCCGTATGTAAACATAAAACCTATAGATTTCTAACAAACGACATCTCATTTATTCTTCAATGATCCAACACAGCAGAGGCCCTAATTAAGTTTAGACTAACTAAATAAAAAACAACAACAAATAGTGTGTTAATTTTAATTTTGAACTGCTAACAAGCCAGCAAGGGAGCAGTATTGATGTACAAGAATTACTTGTATACTGTATGTATGAACATTTTGAACATTGCATGTAGTGATTTTTTTAAAGCCATAAATGTTATGACAAAATTACAATTCATACCAAGGATGATTATTTTTAGTAGCCTCCCTATACGAGCTTATTATTGTTTTAGGATGGCTGAAAGACTACCATTAAGCTCTTCACATTTTATCTACCTAAGTTAATAAACATAAAATGTACTTGATGTTAAAATTTTAAATGAATGTTAAATTTTCTAACAAAATACTAATTATGCATATACATTAAAAAGCCAAACTGAAATAACCCACTCAAAAATGTACAACTTACTTCAAGAATTTTTATAAGGGCATAAGCAATATAGATTAAAAATGTTTCCTTTAATAACATCTAACAATAAATTCATTTATTTTGAATTATTTTCAAAATAAATGAAGTTCCATAACTTCAAGAGAAAAAAGAATTGGCAAAATAAAACAAAAATAATGTAAATATATTTTAATATATTAGCTTTATAGCTTTTGCCAATTCTCTATGATGGTCCCAAAAAGTGTCTGTGTACGACTTCTTTTAATAATTTTTTATACCAAGTGAAGTAAACTCTTAAGGTTGAGGCATTAAATTGCTTGTTTCCTGAAACTTAAAAAAAAAATCAGTCTATATTTAGTAACAGTTTGATTTCTGGACCTCCATTTTCTTGATGTTAATATAGCTTAACTACTTGAACAATAGTAAAAGTGACACTCAAAATAACCACTTTGATACATGGATACTTTTTAAGATTTCTTAGAATCATATCTATTATTATTAGGCTCAAGATCACAAAAAATTAATTTTAAAAGTGGATAAAAAAAGCAATTTGGAAACAAGAAAGTTTAATAAAAATGATCATTGTATTAAATATGATGGGTAGCACCTGGTTAAAAAAAATAAAAACAGCAAACTGATAAAACAAAACAAATGTAGGTCTAAAAACTAAAAATTAATGAGTGATTAAGCTAATATTTCTTATTATAAATTTATACTACTGAAGTTTTAGATTCATTTTGGCAATACAAGAAAAATCCTACTCCAAGAAATTTTATATAAAAAAAAATGCAAAATTTTCTCAAACAATTGTTAAAACATTGTTATTACAGACCAGACCTTTAATGCCTATCTCCCAGGTAACTGTTAAGTACAATGGCTTCCAATACAGTTATGTATGGTAACAGATGCATTCTATTTAATTTTGTGCCTGACATAGCAGCAAATAATTACTGCAAATGAGTGCTTATAATTAATATAAAGTTTTACTGCAGACATTGGAAATAAATAGAAGATTTTGAGCTCTTATAAAATGATAATCAACATAACCAAAAAAGATTATAACCAGTTTTAATTTGATTATCTTTAAAAAAGCAGTTAACAAAATATGCCCCACAGCTAAAACTATCTTCTCTATATAAGTTTTAATAGTGATACCATTTTGTTGGAAAGTAAAATAAAGAAGTAACATAAAGTTCTGAAATGCCTGAATTAAAATTACATTCTACTTAGATCAGTAGAAGCTCCATTATTCATTTAAATAACAGTTCATTAGTGTTACATGTTAATATTTGTATTAATACAACTAAATATGTTTTTCATCTGCTTGTTACTTCAAAGCATCAGGTTTCTGTTGTTTTTTTTTTAAGATGATAGGCCTACTATTATTTTAAAAAATTTTCTTCAAAAATACACTCATCTTTTATAAACATGATAATGAACTCACAAGATGACCTACACAAATTTAAAAATAAACAAACTCACATATAATAATCAAACATTTTAAAATAGTTATGATTAAAAAAAAAAACACATGTTTGACTAGAAACCCTGTAAAACACTCAAGGTACAGAAGTTTTTTAAACCATTGTATAGGAACTATTCCAAAAATTCATACATGTAATGAATTTCTTTAAAAAACATCTTAGGAATTAAATTTGAGGAATCTTTGGTAAACATCAGAGACTAAACCAGACCAATTACCTAATACTGCAATCTAAAATTAAACTTCTGGTTGAGTGAAACTAAAAAACTGGATTACAAACTACTAAACATACAATTTACAAAATGTTTGTTCATTGATTATTGATATAGTTATGTGGTTATGAATCATTATTTATCACAGGAAGAAAAATGTGTCAGAAATCAATGCCATTAAAAAGTTGTGTAAATAATCTGTCTCAAAGAATAACAGATTTAAATGCATTTTGTCAAAAGTATGATTGATCTTTGTTTTAACAAAAAAAAAACACCATCAGGCAGCCCAGAAATATACAACATTATTTTATCGAAGAGATTCATACAATTTTTTTACCGGTACCAAAAATAATAAAGACAGCCCAGCCAAACAGGCAAACCATGGCAGTCTGCCCAAAGACAGCGTTCCAGCTTTTGGTCACTTCAAGTATATGTCCAGCAATGTAAACACCTACAAAACCTGGGAATGATATGTGGAAATTCAAACTATGAAATTTTAAAATGTTTTTATTTATAATACAAGAAGCTAAAAGCAATGCAACATGTGGCAAAAAAAAATATTTATACTGCAGTAATTGTTATGGAACAAGTAGGACCTGTTTATACAAGAAACAATTGGTTACAATCTACTTACCTGGAATAGCTCCAGCCATATTCATGATTCCTAAAAAAATGTAAACATATTTTAAGCCAAGGTATTGAATTTTTTTATTTTTATTTGGATGTTACTTATTTAGCATAATTAGGTTTAACTGGTATTCTTTTTAATAATTTTAAACAAATAGTTAATTACCTCTTTGATAATTTTTTAAGAGTCATTCAAAACCTATACTAATGTAATTAACTATTAAACAGTACATCTATTTCAACACATAAATTATTATAAATATTAACATCATGTATTTCAACACAAAAATTATTATAAATATTAACATCATCTATTTCAAAACAAAAATATCACACATTAAAAAAAATTAGCACTGGTGTGAAACAGCTTAGCTTATTATTCAAGAAGGCTCACCAAACACAGATCCGGCATGTTTAGGGGCGATGTCTTGTGGATTGACTAGAATCCCACTATTGTGGAATCCACAGCATGCTACAGCCAGGGCCATACATATCAAGCATGAGGAATAGCTGCTTGCATATGATATTAAAAACAAGAAGAAAGCTGTCCCACACAAGGCAACAGTCTGTTATAACAGAAAATATTTTATTATTTTAAGAGACAATATAATTATAAAACTTTTTTCTCTGGCTTTAGATTTAAACTTAAAATATATTAAAACCAAAATATATTAAAACCAAATTCTAAAATAATAACATATCAATTTGAGATACAAGTAATTACAGTCTGACTTGTTTTCAAACAGGAAAACAAACTACTTACTTCCATGGCTTTACGGACAAATGTAACTGTGTAACCTGCATTAAGGCAAAAAAAAAAAAAAAAAAACAATAAACATACTGTAAGGTTCCAATGAAAATCCATGTAGCAAATATATTTAAAGTTTTAAATGAAAAATAATTGTGTCTCTGCACATATCTAAAATAATTATTTTATATTTACAGCTTAAAATACTAAAACGTTGGTTTTTATAGACAGCTTAGAGCTAATTCACCTTTAGTGATCATTTTGTCTGCAATCCACCCACTTCCTATTGAACTTGGTATAGTAACAACCCAGGGTACAACATTAAAAACCCAGCCCTGAAATAAACACAACAGTTTTATAGCAACCTCCCAGCATACTGCAGTCAAAGCCTGAAACAGCTTAATTTTGGTAATTGCATTTAAAGACAAGTACATGGTAATGATGAAAAATAAAAGGAATGAAATATAAATTTATAAACATTAGTTATACATTTACTTTTATTAAGATTTTTACCTTAGCTGTTGGAAAACTCTCATGAAAGTATGTAGGCATCCATGACAACAAGATAAAAAAGGCATTGTTTTCACAGAAGTGACCCACTAATAATGACCTAAAAGAAGATATAGAAATCTATCAGAATCAGCTGGTAATAATAGCTTCCTCAATAGCATACACTAAAATAAAACAAATATCCAGGTGTTTTTTTTATATTACTATTTCTTAAAAGAATTATGAAAACATTTTAGACTTTATAGTGGGATATAAACAATACAATAAGTACTGATTTCTAAATACTTTATCTTTTTCAAAATTTAATTTGCAAAAGATATATATTCTCAGCACACAAAAAACAACAGAATTTTTTTTTTAAGTTCTCTATTTTACTGTAAATAAGTTAAATTCACAACATATAAAAAGCTCACCAGAAAGCTGGCTTAGTTAGCAGGTAGACCCAAGGTACAGGAGACCTAGGCTCTGGCTTGAGTTTTCCAGTGTCTATCAGCTGAGCTTCATTTAAGGAAACCATAATGGACCTGTTGCGCTGTTTACCTATCAACACATACTTCATCACAAGCATCCAACACAGGCCAGACAAACCTGGAATTTCATTGGGGTAAAATAACAGGCATTGAACAAATATGGAACAAAAATGTTACTAAGATAAACCTTGATCAACTATTAAAAAAACTAATGAGAAAGTTTTTTTAATTACTTATAAATTATAATTCTAAAATTTATTTTAAACTTTTCAAGATTTCAAGAATAGAACAAAACACTTAACAGTTTTATCAATTCTTAGTTTTAAAAAAGGTTGCAATCTCAAGTCACCTATGATATAAAATGGTAAAGACCAGCCATATGAGTCCAACATAACAGAACCCATGCTACCAGTTAGTAAAGTTCTGAAAAAAAAATACAACTGTTATAAATTTTAATTAACTAGACAATTTAACATATTCTTGTTGTTTTGTCACATCTGACACCAAAAATAAATAAACTGCATCAATTGAGAGTTAATTATTAAGTTTACAAAAAAATACTTGTTTACTATAATTTAAATTTATTATTTAAATTACTTATCACCACTAAGTACTAAAAAAGTTAGAAAGATAACCAGTACAGGTTATTATAATGTTTTTTCCTACCATAAAATATTTTAAGGGCATGTTAAATGAAAAAATTTAAAAAAAAAAAACTTTCTTCCTGACCTAAAACAGTTTTTATTTATCTGCAAGGGGAAAACTCCTTACCCAAAATGGGAACCCGAGGCAACAACACTGTAGAGAAAAGATCGCTGGTGCTCTAACACTCTTCTAGAAATTAAACTTGTCATTCCAGGGAAATGAAAACCTGAAACACATGAAAAATTACCAGCTTGTAAAGTTAATTAAAACAAAACAGCTATATTTATTTTAAAAATGTGTTTAAAAAACAGATATATTAATTATTAATGAAAATATATTTTTTAAAAGAAAGCACTTCTTATACTTAAATTTATAAAAATGCTTAATTAATGTCCCTAATTGTTATCATAGTTTAATCAAAGTAATTAGAGATAATTTTCTGACGTCATCTCCAGTCACTCTTGCTGGGGTATGGACCACCAACTCCTTAATATGCTGGTCACTCTCTACAAGCCTCCAATTCTTATTACATGGTGTTTTTGAATGGCCCCTTTAATGTCTGCATTAAGGTTTACATATTTCAATGTGCCTGGTGATATTGGCACTAATGTGTTTCCTATGCATCACATCTTCCACTCCTGATTTCATCTTCAGCTCAAAGTTGGCTGATATTTTTGCCAGAGGAATGTGCTGTTAATTGTGTCTAGCCAATGAAAATTGAGGATTATTATTCTACAAATGTCTAGATTTTTTTTCTGGCTGTCCAGGGAATCCTCTAAGTCTCAGCTACAATCAGTAGCACTGACTTTACATTAGAATTACAGAGAAACATTTGTAGAGAAAATGACCAACGTACCTTGAAAAATGCCCAGCGCTACACGTGATAAGACCACAATGTGTAGAGATGTGTGCTTGTCAGTGGAGAGATAAGCGAGCTGTGGGGTCCAAAATGTGATCAGGGACCACATGCAGGCGGCAACAGGCAGGACAACTTCACCACCAATCCTGTCACTTAAGTAGCCGCCCAGGAACTGTGTCATGGTGTATCCCCAGAAAAATGCTGACAAAACTGTCCCCTTGAAAAATAGAAAATAAATGTAATATGTGTATTCACAAACAGTAATCAAAGCTTATAATCTTTTTTAGTTTTATGATCAGAAGGTATAAGGGTAAATCACATTTTTTTAGGAATTTAATAATTATAGTATACTTTAATGTGGGCAGTTGGGATAGCTATTCAAAAACCAATAAAGAACCACTTCCTGATATTGGAGGTACTCAAAATTTGAGAGTAATCCAAGTACAAGATCTTATAGTATATGAAATTCTATCTGCCTAACTGAAACATTACATTACATTATGTTGGTACTGCCAATATTTCTCCCATTTGCATTGCTGTTAGAGTCAATGTTAGGAAAACAGCTAGTCAGCATACAGACACTAACACAAGAAAAAAATATTAATATACTCTGCTGGCAATTTAACCTATGCCACAGAAACTACACCTAAGCTTCTAGGGTGTAATGAAATGGTGCACTTAATTAAATGTAAAATGAATTCTTCTTATCATTAGCATTAGTGAAAAATATCAATATACTTAATATACTTTATAGAAGAATGAACTAGTTTTTAACACCATGTAAATAAAATGTTAAATGTGGAAAAACATATATTTTTAAAACTACTTACAGACTCTGTCTTGTCCCACCCCATTTCTTCTGATATGGAAACAACACAGAGAGGCATAAGTGTTCTTGAAGCATACAACATGGCAGTGCCAAACAATAATCCAAAAATCCAGTATGTTTTCTCGTTACTGAAAAAAATCATGAAATCAAAACTATATTATAATTACTTACTACATTTATAAATAAATCCATAATTAGCATTAGAACAGCCATACTAAATTAATAATGCAGTCTCTTTTTTTTTAATTAATTTTTTTTTTAGTTGTTTCTTAAACTCTGTTTAGTCATTAAAAAGTAACATTTGCTTGAACTGCTTAGGGCATTTAAAAGCTTAAATCTGATACTGTAAAACACTAAGTTACGACATGGTCAAAGTTTCATGCGGCCATAATCTTGCGTATTTATGTAACCTTCAACATTCTAAAAGTAGCTGTAGAAAAGTAAAAGCCTTGTGTATCTGAACAAAGTGGTGGTGGTGGTTGGGGGGCAGGGGGGGAGGGTAGTTCATGCAGGACTTCCCTGAGTCCACCCAGCTCAATTAAGGGAAAGTCATGGCAAATGGGCATTGATCCATGTAAAGGAAGCATACATTTTAACTTACCTTGTCCAAAATGTTCCATCGTTGTGATGAAGAAATTTGTTTTTTATCAAATGATCTTTTTTTGGTGAAATATCAACCGCACATTCTTTTGAATTGAAAAAAGTGTTGTCTTTGACAGGATTAGATGTACTAGTATTAATTTTTGCCATGGACATCAATAAAACAATTCATTGATTGATTTTGTACGGCAGCTCAAGTAGTTTAGGCTTTATGTACTGATGATTAGACCAGGCTTGAAAACATTCTGAATTAAAATGGCAGAAGTAAAATCAACAAAATGCGACACTAAAAGATCTTTTATTAAGCCTAGTCGTCTCATTATGTGTTGAAAATGTAGCAGCTAGACTCAAAAATTTAAATAATAAACATAGGAAACCTAAAATTGAGATTTTGGAATCTAAATTAATAGGTGACTATGACTATACTATATTATGGTGCTATGTAGGCCCCTTTAGTCCTATATAGTATAGTAGGCTAATTATAATTAATTAGATTATTAGATCTAGAATACTTAAGAATACATTATTAATACTTTTACTAGATCTATAGGCTAGTATAGGAGGGCATAGGCTGGTAGAAATAATTAAACAATAATCAATAGGCCTATGAATATGAATTTCCCCACACCCGCCATAATTAATAATTATACATACTACTACTACTAACTACATAATAATAGGTAAATAGGCCTACTAGACCTATAGGCCTCTAATTAATAGTATTAATTAGAGGCCTATAATTATAATATAGGGCCTATATTATAATTATAATTATATTTAATTTGATGATTATTAACAATTTAAAATGATAAAATTAATAATTTAATAATCATCAAATTTAAATTTGTTTTTTTTAAATAAAATCATTTAAAAATGAAATGATAAAATTTAAAAAAAATGAATTAATTAATAATTATACTACAGTCTGAGTCTAACTAGTAGATCTAGATATCTAGATCCTAACTACTAGATTCTAGATCTAGGCCTATATATTAATTATTTCAACTAAAAGGTTTTAAAATTGTTTTGATTCAGTTAGAAGTTGAGTAAAAAAAACATACACAACACAGAGTAATGTGTAGGCCTAATCTAATCAGTGTGGTTACGTATTACTATGGTCAGGGGAAGACAATCAAGTTGGCTATTCAAGTAATTTTACAGTTATCCGTCCAGCGTTGACTAGACATAGATCTATCTTGGGTCTGAATACTTTAGTGTAAAATTTTGGCTAAATGATGTTACAAAAGCCACTTTTTGTGCTTTAAAGTCTTTAAATCTAGTAAGAAAATACATAACAGACACAATTTTAATTTTAGAAGTGGTATGGGTCGAGCCAGTTAAATTTCACAGAAAATCAATTTCAGGATCGAACGTTGCTTCCACGTTCGAACTGCGCGCGCAGTGTTCAGTTGCGCTAGCTGCGTAAACGCCATCTGTTGTGTCAAGTTGTCTCACTCTGCGAAACATTCTAAGTGATTAGATTCGGAATTTCAGTACTTATTTTCCTAAAATAATGTGTAAAATGCATTAAAATTGCATTTATCATTAACCATGTCATCCGACAAAGACAACGAAACAGCCAAACCTAAAGGTATAAAGAGGAGAGTTAGGGTAACTACGATCGAGGTCAAAAAGATACTGATCGCGAAGCATGAAAGTGGAACTCGGGTTTCGGATTTGGCGGCCATGTTTCAGATGCCGAAATCTACGGTGTGCACCATTCTGAAAAATAAAGCAGCGATAAAGGCAGCTAATGTGGCGAAAGGGGTGACAACGTTGACTTCTAAGAGGTCGCAGGTTATCGAGGAGATGGAAAAATGCCTTTTGGTATGGATTGATGAAAATAAATTTGCTGGTAATATAATAACGGAGAGGATGATTTGTGAAAAGGCGAAACAACTTTATCGTGATATTAAGGAAAGCACGCCTAAATCAAGCAGTTCGGAGTGCGAGGAGTTTAAGGGAAGTCGAGGATGGTTCGATAAATTCAGGAAACGTACCGGCATACACATCCGCCCACACAGTCTCGCTGGATACCACCAGTCCCCATTAAGGTAAAAAAATCTCTGCGATGTACAGAGGCGTAGCGAGGGGAGAGCGGGTGGGGCAGCCGCCCTGGGCGTGAACAGGGGGGCGCCAAAGCGGGTAGAAAAAATATATAAAAAGCTCATTCTAAGCTGCATCACTTAATTGCCTTCAATCGAAGTTAAGAAAATAGACTGATACCTAGTTTTACGGACTTATTTAAACGTTTTCCTACATCGAATGTTTGACACTGTAATTAAAAAGGGAAAGTAACTGGTAAAAAACGACTTTCCAAGTTAGGTGGATAGACGCTTTTTCAACCACGCAAACATATATATTTAAATGGGGGTGGGGGGGGCAAAGTTGATATTTCGCCCCGTCGCCAAAATGGGTCGCTACGCCTCTGGCGATGTATCAATACTCGACTGCGACAAATATGTGTGGGTTTTAATTTGGGTCTTCCATTCATGAATGACGTCTTAATATAAAAATTTGAAAAATCTAATTACATAAACAACATAAATATTACTTAAGCTACTCTGTGACGAGAAGGGGCGTTTGGGGGTTGCAAATAGAGTGGCCGACCCAGTCCTCTTACGTCAACTTCAATGTCGTCCATAACTGAGCTTGTCAGAGTCAACAAATATTTTCGCCTTTAAATCTGAAATGCTAATTTTTAATTATTCTTCTAATTCTAGATCTAATTCCGCAGTAGATGATATATTGTCCATAAAGGCCCAGGAATACGAATTATAGTCATCATCAGAGTTTCTTCCAGGCATCTCACCGCTCCCCCCCCCTATCCCCGAACGGGATGGAATTTATATAGTAAACATATACTTTTACTAGTGTCCGCCCCCCCCCCCCCCGAAAATATCAAGTGCCCCCCCCCCCCCCGAGAAAAAAGTCTGGAAGAAACACTGGTCATCATCTCTACATTGCATGCGTCATAATGACTCCTCGCTGGCTGTGTTTAGCTAATAAACAAGACGCGTTGAGTTAGAAGAAAAAAATTACATTCAAATTATACCACTTCTAATTAAATTAAGCAACATTTTGTTCTCCGCCGGTATCTTCTTGTTAAAACTGACGGTCGACAATAATGTGCAGTTTGTTAGACAACGAATTGAACACACCACACATTAAATCCCTGTTTTAAGTTCTGTTTTGGAATACGTTGTCATTGTGCGGGTATCGCACAAAATACCACTTGACCATTCTCAATTTTTTTCCGGAATCTCTGCAATGAGAGGCAGGCATCCCCCCCCCCCCCCCCCTCCCCGCCACCGAACAAATTAGAAAAAAAAACAATTATTTATTTAGAAAATATTAAGCCTACTTTAACCAGTGAACAACCCTTCTTCCCCCCCCCCCTCTTCCGGAGAAAAATGTCTGAAAGAAACTCTGGCTACGTAACGCACAGAGCCCATTAAGATATTGTTGTAGTTAGTGTTATTCGTTGCCTTTATTGTATAATATTTTTCACTTCTCTTAACATGTATTTATTGTCTGCATGCTTTATTATTTTTATCATCGTTATCGGATAATCTTTCTGTGCGTTGGTCGTGTTATGTGTTATCATTTACATGTGAAAGTTTAAGCTCAGGGCCGTAAAAAAAATGTGTCACGTGTCTGTGTGACATCCGTTAATTTGACCAGTTTAACCATTTTAGCAGTGGTTTCCAGCGCTACACCTCAGCTAAATAATTGACCAGTTAACTAGTTTAGCAGTGGTTCCCAGACCAATGCACTACACCCCAACTAAAAGCTTGACCAGTTAACTTATTTTTAGCATTGGTACACTGTATGCTACACCTCAACTTGACCAGTTAACTAGTTTAGCAGTGGTTCCCATACCCGTGTGCTACACCCCAACTAAAAGCGTGACCAGTTAACTGGTTTAGCAGTGGTTCCCAGACCAATGTACTACACCTCAACTAAAAGCTTGACCAGTTAACTGGTTTAGCAGTGGTTCCCAGACCAATGTACTACACAACTAAAAGCGTGACCAGTTAACTGGTTTAGCAGTGGTTCCCAGACCAGTGTACTACACCCCAACTAAAAGCTTGACCAGTTAACTTATTTTTAGCATTGGTACACTGTATGCTACACCTCAACTTGACCAGTTAACTAGTTTAGCAGTGGTTCCCGGATCAGTGTGCTACACCCCAACTAAAAGCTTGACCAGTTAACTAGTTTAGCAGTGATTCCCAGACCAATGTACTAAACCCCAACTAAAAGCTTGACCAGTTAACTGGTTTAGCAGTGGTTCCCAGACCAATGTACTACACCCCAACTAAAAGCTTGACCAGTTAACTAGTTTAGCAGTGGTTCCCAGACCAATGTACTACACCCCAACTAAAAGCGTGACCAGTTAACTATTTTTAGCATTGGTACACTGCATGCTACACCTCAACCTAAAGGTACCACGACGTTCCCGTCATAGAATCATGTGGTATTTTCACTTTTAAAATACATATTGTAACAAGATGTAACACATGGCATACCCTACTGTGAACCAGTAACTCTTTTTATATAGAAGCGTTAGCTACATACATCGACACAGCATGGCTCGATTTTCCTGCCTGATCTGTAGAATAAATTTTAAAAAGGGCTGCTATCGAGTTTCAGCCCATCCCCCGTCATTTGAGATAGATTACTGTTCTTTTAGTTTTACTGCCAAGCTTTCTTACAGAAGGTAATTCTACTAGTCTAGATGTAGTCTAGATGTAATTTTAAAACAGGCTGGTAGTACGGTTTCTCAATCCAGTTGTTATTTTGTTGCTACAGTAATATCTCGCTGCATCGCGGTTGACAATTCGCCTTCTTAGTGCATCGCCAATTTAAAAAAAATAAATCAATTTAACGTAATATCGCGGTTCCCTCTGTACATCGCGGGTTTCCGCGACCGTGTGTACATGGTTTGGCGTTCCAGTGACATGTCGTACGTGCAACGCCATTGGCTGATAGAAGAAACACAAACAGTGAGAGCATTCTGTTCAGTATCCTTGGCGCTGGTTGGCTATGTGATTGTAACCTCAACTCCCCAAAAACATAGGCTTAGGTTAGCTTAGATTCTTTATTGCGCGCCGTTCAGTAAAAGCACCTCTTGGCTACATCGCGTGTGTGTATTGTGCAGTGTAATTTTGGCTTCGTATTCTTCATACACCTTTCGGCTGCACCGCTTAACATTTTTGTGCATGGTGCATTTTAGGTTTGT